GTAAGCTAAAATGATGTTCAATTACAGGTGTTTCCTCATTTCTAACAGGCTACATTCCCAATGTTCCTTCTTAGACTTTTCCCCTTTGAATTTTGCTCCTGTTTTCCCATAGAAACAACATGAGATACAACATAATTATGTACTTTGTGCTACAGCAACATTAGATGTACTAGTTCACAGAACATAAATGAAGTTTTAAAAGCAGTGGCATGAGTTCTAGGCCTTAGAAGCAGAGATCGTAGGGGAGAAAAGAATGACAGAAAGGCAAAAAAATCTTATTGCTCATGACAATTCTCATCATACCCAAAATTATGAAAGAGGAAAATTGTATCTGGTCTGAGGTCCTCTCAGTGGTCTTAAGTTTTTATTTGCCCCTTAAAGCAATAAACCTCTCAGATATGTTCCATTCTTCAAGAATTAACCTCACTATATATATCTCCCTTAGTGATCAGGACTTTGATGCTTAGCTGTCCCTAGAAGGTGTTAGGAAGAAAGCAATCTTATTGAATCAACCTATACTAATCTGTAAATGACTAGTGTTTATATTATCTTATGTACACAACACATACACACATACACAAACACAACTACAGTACTCATGCATTAATTAAGCAAGATTCTAGATGGTAGGGATACAAAAACACAGAGAGTGAGAGAGATCAAGTGATGGAGAGAATGACAGTGACAGAGAGAGAAACAGTTTCTGCTCAGATGAAGCTTACATTTCAGGCGGAGGGGCTAAAGAATAATAACCACCAAAAATAAATAAACCACAAAATACAGCAAGTAATAAATATGCTACAAAAAGTAAAGTAAGGTAATATGGAAGAGCTGGCTGACCACTTCACATTTAGTGATTAGGAAAGGCCTCTTGGAAGGCGTAATTCAAGATGAAATACAGTTGAAGACAAGGAGCTGGTATTGTATAAAGGAAGGGGCAGAACACTTTAGACAGTGCAACCCTGGCAAAGGAATGAAAGTGTAGGGAAGGGCAGAAAGACACTAATGGGCAAAAGGACAGCAGGCAAGGAAAAGACTGGAATGGAATGTCAGAGAGGGGCCAAATCACATAGGTTGTAGTAAATTATGTTTCTGGAATTTATCCTAGAGGCCACTGGAAGATTGCAAGCAATAATATGGTCTGATTTACATCTTAAAATGATCTCCATCAGAAGCAAGGAGATGGACCAGAGGTCACCGCTGGGTCTGGGTGAGAGAGAACAGCTGCGTAACTATGATCATAGTTGAGGGAGAGCTAGGTGGGCCTCATCAATTGTGGTTTAGTGGAATGTTTGCAAGACTTAAAGATGGATTGACTGTGGGGAGAAGAAAAAAGGGACCAAAGAGTCCTGGGTGGATGATGATTCAATCTTCCTGAGAAAGGCAGGATCTGGAAAGGACAGATTTGGTTGAAGAATAAGATCACCGGGCAGTAGGAATTAACAGTTCTGTTTTGGACATGGCAATTTTGAGCTGCAAATTACATATTCATCACAGATACAAGGAAGGCAGTTGGTGTATGAATCTAGCTCAGGGAGAAAGCAGAGAGTGAAAATATGCAGTTGGGAATCATTGACATAGAGACGGCATTTCAGACATGGAGACTAAGTCTAGGGGGTTGATTGCAGATTGAGAAGAAGACAGGAGATCACGCTCTGGCTACATCAGTGAGTGCCTCCCTGTCTGAAGAGTATAATGACCACCTGACCAGCTAGAGAGGGGAAGATTTGTTCTGCCTGCAAACCATAAGGTTTTCCCCATAGATTTTTGAACAACATGGCCAAAGATACTTTTAACCACATATCTAGCATTTAATCCTGTGTTGAGGAGAGAGCACTAGCAGAGAAAAGTTTTCAAGGCCCATCTGGCCAACATAGTCTAAAAATCTGAGTTTCACCCAGAAACTTTACAGTTCATCAGACACTAGGCAGATGATCTTCTACTTTAGGAACAGTTCCAAGACATAAGCCTAGAGAAAAACCTGTGCCCTAGGGCCGATGCTGAGTAACGACAAGCTGTAAGTAAAGAGAATTAGTGGTTTTAATTCTTCTCCTTGTACCAACTCAGCTTTGTCATCCAGAAACAAGACTGTCATTTTACTTTAACATTTATGAGTCGGGGGATAGACTGACACAGGGCTGTGAACCAGCAGCCTTGAAGAATAAAATCAGAAGTATTATGTTCATCTAGAATCTTTTTCAATTTGCTTAGTAATTTGGGGGATGATTATTTATATAGATATGATTATCTGAGATCATTGTGAATATATTGATTTGGGAGACTGCTGCACAATTATTATTGCAGCAAATTACAGGAGCTCTCCTCATAAAAGAAAAAAAATCTGTGTCCTGATGGGAAGCATTTGTGGTAGTGTAGGCAAGCCATTTCTAAAATTAATGATTGTTTTTTTTCTCTCCAAACAGGCTTTCTTATGTCTTGATGGCTCTACCTGGATTTTGAGTTGGTTTTTAACTCCAAAGAAACATAATGATATCTCTTAGTAACACAAGAGACATACAAAGGCATTCTTGAAAACTGACGAATAGAAAAAGGAGTTGGGTTGGGTGTATTGGAGATGAAGCATTGTAAACTAAGAAACATATTCAAAAACAAAGACTCAATAAAAATTACAAAAGCATATTTTTATCCTCATGCAAATAAGAGATGTAATTGGCACAATGAACTGCTGCCTTTTTACAAAGGGAAGTAGACCCCCATATTTTCCTGCAACAACTTCAGATAGAAGTAATGGACAATGATGATCTTTAGTTTCTAAGCAAAACAGCATAAGATAGAAATATTTTAAATATTCCTCCTGTTTGGTTAATTTCTATAACTGTTGGGAAAAATCAAAGTAGTGATCAAATGTGGAGCTGTGGGAACACTGCCAGCCTCAACAGTCTGCTCTCCTCTGAGCACCAACAATCAGCTGGAAGAGGGGGGAATTCTGCTCAAGAGGCAGTGAGAAGAGCACCCTCTAAGCTCCTTACATCATCTCTTAACTGAGTTGGACACTCAAACCATGTTAATTAGGACCCCGTAGGTGTAAAGTAATTGGATAAAACCTTGTGTGTGGTTGATCAGCATAAAACTGTATGCTTCAGGGTTACTTGAGGTAACTACTGTAATTAATTTATTTTGGTCAGATCATCTTAAATTATTCAAAATAATCACCAATCATAAGAGCTGCTATTTCGTTCAGTCCTTTCTATGTCCCAGATGCTTTACTAGATGGATAACTTTATATTCCAATATTTTGTCCAATCTTATCATAATTCTGAATGTTAAATATGGTTGTCCCTATTTTACAAATAAAGACTGAAGCTCAGAGAGGTTAACTGTATTCACAGTCACTGGGATAATAAATATCTGCATGAAGAACAACTCATGAACACCAGTGAAAAGAAATATATTCACGCACCTTATAGCAACATTTAGATCAATGACAGACCACATATACAATGGTGGTCCCACAGAATCATGTAGCTTAGAGACATCATGGCCATCTTGGTTCATGGATGCATGCTCACTCATGTGCGCACAATGATGAGATCACCTTATGGTGTGTTTCTCAGAATGTATCAGCATCATTAAGTGATGTCTGAGCTGACATGACATAAACTTTATTTGCTTTCAGATTCAACCCAAAATCCAGAATTGGTAACTACAACAAGTTTTAGTAGAAATCATACCATCTAGATGAGCAGTGGCAAACCTATGGCACATGTGCCACAGAGGGCTGTTTGTTATCATTGAAAGCTCTAAAAGATTCGCCATCAGTGATCTAGACCAAGATTGGTAAATGTGGGAAATAGTAGTGGACACTATCATTAGGGCTATATTTGCTTCCAGTCCTGCCTTTTCTCCCTAAGAACTTGGCTTGGAGAGGGCTTGATAGGGAATGTGTGTCTTGTTGCTCAAATTTAAGGCTGTGTGTCTGTCAGGATGCCAGCTAGTATTGGGGAGCAGGTCTAGAATTTCAGTTATAGTAAGTCTTGATTTTACCAGAATCACTGGTGAGCTTAAAACACACACACACACACACACACACACACACACACACACACACACACACACACACACACCCTATACCCTCTGGGCTCTCTTCCTAAATCTCCCATGGGCTGGTGACAAGTCTCAGACATTCATTTTCAAGAAGTGAGAAAAGTGATTTGTGTTATCAAGAATTCTAATGCCCACCAAAATTAGAAAATCATTGCTATTAATATTTTGGGGTGATGTTTCACTCAGAATTCTTAGTAAACACAATGAACTACAGTCGTAGCGTAGAAGAAACATTAAGATTATAAGGAGTGCATGAAGGGGTGTCTATGAAACGTACATTTCATTTGATCTGCTCATTTTTGTTGCTATTTTTTCCTGCCCTGATCAACATCTACTTCCTAGTTGCTCTCCTTAATATGTAGATAAAGAGAATATTTTATCAAGTATCCAGTAAATATGTTTTTATCAGTTACCTGAATGAATGCAGAGTTTTGTGGATATTATCCAAACCTCACCAAATGTATAAAAGACAACTTTCCTTCTTGAAAAAGATTCTGTGTTTTGTTTTATGTTTGAAAGTGCTCACTCTAAGGGGAAACTCTTCGGAAAATCTGTCCCTCAAACTGATTTGCTCTCTCCATGCAGGCAGGCCGTGGAGACTCTAGGAGTGTGTTCCTGTCAACAAAACGAGGCTGACCAGTTTTATAACTATGAGAAGTGCCATTTTTTTGACAATGCACTTGAGCAATGACCATTATTTATACCTCTAAGCCAGTGACTGCAAACTCTTTAGAGCTTTCAATGATAACAACAGCCTGCTGTGGCATGCATTCCATAAGCTTTCCACTATAGCTCTAGGCTCTCAGCCTTCACAAGCCTGGTTTATTATGGCAGCACTTACGATTGAAGGAAAGAAAGGGTCAAGAGGAAATGAACCTCTCCTGGAGAGGTTCATGAATCCTCCTGGAGGATTTCTACATGAATGCATCCTGTACCTGGCACTGAAGTTCCCAGTGCGACGAACACAACAGCAGTCACGGAGTCTTTTAGGCCAATGGTGCAGCCAAAGTGGGAAGCCAGGTCTCCAATGAAAGCTGTCAGTAGGCCAATCATGAGAATGGAGACAATGAAACATGCCCAGCCATTCCAGTATTCTGTAGGGGGTACGAAGGCAAACAGGACCTTCCAGAAGACAGTCAGAAAGTGCATCACATAATCAAAACAGGAGGGCAACTTCTCCTCCCCACATTCATCGTCGTCATCATCTTCCCCTGGAGAGAGAGAAAGGAATGAAACACATTTCATTACAGCCATGCTACAACAATCTTCCTCCCTGCCAATCTCCTTCGGAGAGATAGGAAGCCATCAGAAGTGGGAGAAGCTCAGGGTTTCCCAAGAAACAATCTTAATGAACCACTGATTTAGGTATCCAAATGCCAAAACATACCCCACTCAGGTCTTCTACCATGCAACCAATAACCTTTTCAATCATATAACTGCCAATGAGATTTGTCACTTTAGAGTAAAGAGGATTTCTTCCCCAAAATTAGAAAGCTAAAAAAGCCTCCTTGGAAGACAACTAACTGTGATCAGAGTTCTGCCAGATTCTTTTTTCCAGTTTGAGGTCCAACTCTGGAGATTAATAGTTACATAAACAACGTCTTTAATCACATTTATGGACCTTGTGTATTACTCCAACTTTATCCCCGTAACTATTTCAAACTCAAACTTTGTCCTAGCTAAAAAATTCTCATTGTTCAAACAACATGCATGTTCTCCCACTTTTGTCCTTTAGTGATATGAGCTTGGTATGTTTTAATCCCGCTATCCTCATTGTTCCTCAATTGTCTTTTGGAATTCACTCCCCTGAAACTCTCTCTGACCTCCCACCAAGCCAACCATGGCTAGGAACACCCTCAAAGCTTCCATAGACCCCAGTATGTGAAAGTCTGGATCAGTGGTTCTCAAAGTGCCTTCCCCGAGCCAGCAACAGAAACCTGCTAGAAATGTTAATTCTCAGCTTTGCTGAATCAGGAACTTGGGGGAGCATATGCCACAAGATATCTGGGCTTGAATAGCCCCTCCACACGATGCTATGCATGCTCAAGTTTGAGAACTGCTGCTTTATCTAAATTGTACTTTCCTCTCTTCTCCAGTTAACCTTGGACCTACCATTCATTTTTATGTCCCTTGTGTTTGGTACCATATCCATCTCTAAGATGGCTTATTAGCTCTTAGATGGCTAATGAAGAAATGCATGCCTGAATTTCTGATTTTATATCACGATGCAATTACATAATATACACACATAGATCACAATTCTCCCACTGAAGTCATACTACCACAAGCTTGCTATTTAAAGAGTCTAGGAAATTAGTAATGATATTCTAAAATACAGATTTCATATATAATGTGAAAATAATACCCATTCACACGTTTAAAATTAGGACCTTGAATGTCAACTTTTTTTAGAGTGATAGCAAATGTATATTCATGTGTTTTGTGCTGATTTTGAAAAGAACTTCTTGAAGACTTTGTTCACCTTCATCTCCGAGGATCTACTCTACTTTGTGCAACTTGCAGTAAGTGGGGCTGTCAACTCTCTAATCTAACTCTGTCACCCCAGATTGCCAGCATGGAGCACATGTGTATGATTTTTGTGATACAGTCCATGGTGTGACCATCTGGTAGAAAGCATGGAAAGTAGGAGAGCCTTGAGCAACACATGCTTCTCATAAGAGATGAAAAGAGGAATGACTTGTCATCTTACAGGAAGACAGAAGTGACAATGACCTGCTCTTCCATGAGCACATGATTGAATTATTTTGTTAACTGACTTTGGGGAGTTCTGGTAAAAGAGCTTCATCTCTGACTTTGGGAAGTCTCCAATAAACTTTTGGGAGAAAGCTCAAATAGGTATGTAAAATTACTTTTGGGGACTACTTAGGTAGAGAACTTAAGTCAGGTCAGCTCAATGAAATGTGTATGGGTAAAAAAAGCATTGTTGACCATTTATGCAGGCTTCCAGTGCATGGTTAGTACACATTACTAATTACCTTGACTGTTAAGGGCTGCATTATGTCTCTCCCTAATTCATATGTTGAAGCTCTAACTTGAAATGCCTTAGCATGTGACCTTAGGCGGAGGATAGGGCCTTTAAAGAGGCAATTAAATTAAAATGAGACTCTTGGGATGAGTCCCAATCCAATATTATTGGTGTACTTATCAGAAGAGGAAATTGGGACACATAGGCACTAGGAATGTGTGTGCATAGATGAATGACCAGGTAGAGACGCAGCAAAAACACAGACATTTGCAAGCCAAGGAGAGAGGCGTTAGGGGAAACCAAATCGTCCAACACCTTGATCTTGTACTTCTAGTCTACAGCACTGTGAGGAAATAAGTTTTTCTTATTTAAGCCACCCAGGCTGTGGCATTTTATTATGGCAGCCCTGGTGAATTAACATAGCAATGCTTTGGATGCCTCCTATGTCATGACATTTAAATTTAGACATATGTATCAAAATGTCACTCTGTACCCTATAAATATGTACAATTACTATGCACCAAGTAAAAACAGAATTAAAAATTAAAAACACAGAAGTACAGTATCTGTTCAGTGTTTCTATTACCTCCTTGTCTCTTGTTTCCTTATACATTTCCTTTTTTTTCCTTCTTTACCTTTTCTTCCCATTTCTCTTTTACCCTATACTTTAGCTACAGGTATAACTTGTGTGAGAGCTACAGTTTTGGGGACTTATGTGATGCGGGGCAGAAAGGAATCATGTTAATTCTTTCCCTATTGCTTCTCCCCATTCTTCACTCCAAAAGAGGGTGCACATACCCAGCAAAACTCAAAAAAGCACTAGTTTCTAATTATATTTATTTTGTGACTGATTCTTTTACATTTGTATTTGTGAACATTTTATAATTTCTCTGGTTATCTCATTAAAATGTTTCAAAAACAGTGAATTTTAATCAATCATTCACAGGAAAAGACTATTCTGTCCCTGACTGCAAAATTACTTAATTTTGGGTGACAGTCTTATATTCTGAAGATGAATAAGAAAACAGATAACGGAGCTTCTCAGAAGAAATGACATTTAGAAATTGAGAGTAGATATTATATTTGTTTTCAAGATGGAAATAATAACACCTTTCCCATGAGGGCAGTGCAGGGGAATAATCAGATCATCTCTGTGAAGTACTGAGGATGTTTCAAGGTAATGATTATCATGGTAGTTATTATTTTCCTCCACTAATGATTGCTACTGTGCTTCCTCATCATTGTTTAATTACTTAGTCAACATGCTGGGTCCTAAGTTACATTTTAAGTTTTTAAAAACAAAATTTAATCTTACCCTTTGAAATTAAGATGTGTTAATTCAAAAGTTGTGTGCATGTGTGTGTGTGTGTGTGTGTGTGTGTGTATTAGAGAGGGGGATCCTTCAGTAGGTTTTCTGGTATTACAAGGAATCTTAAATGTTTTAATGGGAGATCTATGTGTTTTATAGCATTTGAAAGTAGAAGTGGCTTGCCATTCTTTTTCTTGGGATCTCTATTGAACTTTTAATCTTTGGCTGAGATGTCATTTAAATATTAAAAATGACCATTCACTGTCATGCATAATGCACAATTACCCTGTTTTGGGGGAAGGACAAAGAAATATAATTTTCCATCACCATCAGACTCTATTTTATAGACTGATTTTGGAAAGAGCAGTGAAACATTTAAAATATAAAACAAAGAATAAAACAAATAAAAACCATGTAAAATTTCCGAAACATTGGGAATATGTTTTATGTGACAACAAAAGTGATAGCGACCTGTCAGTTCTGAATGCTTACCAGCTCAGGGTTATGAGAAGCTACAGAATGTTTTCAAATCCCTCCTCTGTGTTACCAAAGAAACAGACAGGTTGCTTTGAAAGGATTCCAAGTAAATCCCTCTTATCTCAGAAGCCTTCTTTTCAGCTTTATGGGTGCTACTAATGGAAAGTTAAAGAAGTTGTATTGGAATAATCCCTCCCATAGGCTTTCAAATGGCTCCCTTGATAGGTGTTGAACTTCCTAAATATAACTAACTAAAAAAAAAAAGTCAAATCACTAAAAGTGCAGATATTGGAGAAGGGTTCACTTCATCTATTGAGATCATACCCCCTGCTCTGGAGCATGAGCACAAGGTCATTGCAGGCACAATGAATCATGAAAGGCAACCCTCGGAAAACATGCCTGTTGGTACCTGCAGATAACATACCATGTAAACAAGTGTTTGTTAACATTCCTTCCTAAATGCTCAGGGTTTGACCTCAGGGAGAGCTTTGAGAACCAGAAAGGGAGGCTTCCAAGGTGTAGTGAACACTTGGGTCAGAAGCTTTAAAAATCAATTTCTAGTTTGTATAGCTTGTTTTGGGGCAAGACATTTAAACTTCCTGAGTCCTAATTCCACATCCATCAAATGAGTTTCCTAACTTGCACATTACAGAGCTGTTTCAAGGACCAGAAGAGAAAATGTTCAAGTCTTTTGTAAAACTATAAATCCATTTACACATAGATGCATCATAATCCATTACTGTTACTTTTCGGAAGGAAAGCAGTAAATCAATATGACTCAACTGCCCTGATTTCACTGGATCTATATTCTGCTTGAATGAGCTATTATCACTATAGTTTCCCTTACCTGCTTAATTTTAAGAAAAGCAAAGAAGGAAGGAACAGAAGGAAGAAACATAATGGGGTATCTACTAAGTGATAGGCAATGAGGGAAGTTCTTTTAAATATGTGATCTTATTTATACTTATAATAGCCCTATAAGGTAGGCATTATTAATCTCACTGTCCATACAAAGAACTTGAAGTCTGGAGAATTTCAGTGACTGTTTAACATAATCACTCAGCTGGTAAGTGGCTGTGTTGGGACTTGATCTAATAGGCCAAGGGAATATTCTTCTATATATGAAGCAAGCTGAAGAATTTAGTATCTCTCACATAGTCATTTGGTTCTTCGAAGCCTCATGATGTATAGATACAATACTGCCTTTTCTTAGGAAAATGAAAATATTGATGCACTGTCAGTAATAATTATATTCTAATATTTGGAGACATTTACTACCACCTTTGGTGGAGCCAGCTGCACGCTCTTTCTCAAGTTCTTGGGGACTAAGTAAACAGGGCAATAAGAAAATCAAAGTAAAAGAGGGCATAATGGTTGTAACCATTTTAGAATATTTATGTTGAAGAATGACAAGTCCCTATTTCCATTTCTGGTCCCCA